CCCACATCGGGCTCCCTGCTCGGCGGGAAGCCTGCTTCTCCCTCTCCCACTCCCCCTGCTCGTGTTCCTGTTCTTGCTATCTGTCAAATAAATAAATAAAATCTTTAAAAAAATATATATGAATATTTGTCAACTGTAAATGTTCACACCCCCGTTACCCTCTGTCCCACAGCCATGTCTGTGTGCTGAAACCAGTCACTGGAAAGTGAGCTGCTACTGGTCTAAGCAGAGGACTAGAGAAAACAAGGAAGAGCTACACGTAGGACTTTGGGGCGCCTGGAGGCTCAGTCGGTTAAGCGTCCGACTCCTGACTTCAGCTCAGGTCATGATCTTGGGGTCGTGAGGTGGAGCCCTGCGTCCGGTTCCGTGCTCAGTGGGGAGTCTGCTCGGGATTCTCTCTCCCTCTCTCTCCCTCTGCCCCTCTACCCGCGAGTGCGCATGCACTCTCTAATAAATCCTTAAAAAAAAAAAAGCCAAATTGAAAAAAAAAACAAAAAAACCCAAATGTGTGACTTTGTATCCCCAGGGAGGACCAGGTGGGCCTTCCTCCTCTCCCCAGCCTATTCATGGTGTGATGCCCAAAGGCTCAGCCCTTCAGTCTGTCCTGTCCTCCATCTTCCCTGGCTTCCTTAGCCACACAGGTTCACATTTTTAAATACCAACTCCCAAATTTATCTCAAGTGTTTGCCTCTCCCCTGAACTCCAGACTCCTGTCCCCCCGCTGTCTGTCCAGCATTTTCACCTGCAACAACATGGCTAATACTCAAGTCCTATTCTTCTCACTCCCCACTTTACCCATCTACGTTGGTAGCCATGCCATCAATAACCGTTGTTAGGTCAAAATCTTTTTTTCAGGCCAAATCCACCTTCAGCTCCTGTCTTAGATTCCACATTGTTTGTCAGGAAATCCTATCAGTGATACCTTAGAAATATATCCAGGATCTGGCCACTTCTCCCCACCTCCACCACTCCCCCCAGTCTATCCACTCCACGGCTTCCTTGCTGGTCCCTTTGCTTCTGCCCTTGCCCCTCTATAGTCAATTCTCAACACAGCAGCCAGAAGGATCCTTTAATAACAGAAGGCAGATCTCCTCTGCTCAAATGCTCTGTTTTCCCATTTCATTGGTTTTTTTTTTTTTTTAAGATTTTATTTATTTTTTTTGACAGGGAGAGACACAGCAAGAGAGGGAACATAAGCAGGGGTAGTGGGAGAGGGAGAGAGAGCAGCAGGCTTCCCGCTGAGCAGGGAGCCCGATGCGGGGCTCGATCCCAGGACACCCAGGCGCCCCTCCCATTTCACTGTTGAGTAAAAGCCAGAGTCTTTACTTGGCTTCATATGGTCTGGGCTCCTCCAATCTCTTCGGCCTTATATCCAACATACCCTCCATTTGCCATCTGGCCTGCCTGTTCTCAGAACATGCCAGGCACATGTCCTGTGCAGTGGCACCCTTTCGGTACGCTCTTCTCTATACATCAGGCAACCCCTCCCTTCCTTGAGGTCTGTGCCCAACACTCGGAGGCTCTGCCAGGCTTCCCCCATCCCTCACGAGGAGACTGCAGCTCCCGCCTCCCCAGTGTTTGCCAGCCCTCTTCCTGCCTTCCCACCACAGCACACAGCACACAACCTGCCACTCTCTAAAGAAGAGAAATGTGTCTTTTTTCGTGCACTGCCCTATTCCCAGCACACAGCGCTCAATAAATACCTGCTGAATGAACAATGGAACCAGTCTCTTCAGTTTTCTCCTACCTTTACAAACCCTGTGTTTTAGGCAAACCGACCAATACATGTACATGCTTGGCTGACACATACCTTCCCATGTCCTGCTCGTGCTACTCCTCCTTCATCTGTTCAGCTTACATAAGATCTTATCCATTTTTCAAGCTCCACTTAAATTCCATCTTCTTGGTGAAGCCTTCATAGGCTTTAGATCAACTAAACTCAAAGTGATACCTTCCTTCCCTGAATTCTAAAACACACATCTGTCAATTCTTAAAACCCTCAGGAAGTTATTTACTGGTGACTGTTCATAATTTAAATTTTCTATAAATGCATTTTCTCTATTACACAGTAAGCTGCTTGAGGATCCTTCCCAGCCTCTAAAACACCTAACACAGTATCATGCACAGAATAGGTCCTTAACAAATATTAGTTAACTAATTAAAGGAGTTTCCTGGTGATATAAAAATACTTTTAAGTGGTACACAAAAGACATTAAAAAAAATGTTATACTCTACCTCACACCATATACAAAGATTTACTCAAAATGGATAAGACCGAAGTCTAAGAGCTAAGACAAGAAAACTTTTGAAGAAAACACAGGTGTAAAAGCTTCATGACCTGGGCGCCTGGGTGGCTCAGTTGGTTAAGCGACTGCCTTCAGCTCAGGTCATGATCCTGGAGTCCCGGGATCGAGTCCCGCATCGGGCTCC